CCCCAAACTTACCCAGCTGCCTCCTAAGGTGCTCTCCGTTCCCACAAGCACACTGCACTGTGTACAGACACACACACAACACTGTCGTCAACATACCAGTGGCATAGCTTAGCACTACTCTGAACTTGCTTCATTCCTTAGTGTCCCTTGGAGCTCTGCCCACATTAGTGTGCTTTTCATTTTAAGTGCAGTGATGGATGCCAGAGTAAGGACATGCCATAGTCTCTTCAGCTATTTTATTGAAGGACATTTAAATTATTTCTCATTTAGACCAATTTCACATAAAACTCTAAATTCTTCAAATATTTCCACAAATCCAGGAGATGGTCCCAGTCTCTTAGAACTGCACCAAAGCATTGTTCCACTGTGGCCCTTACACACATTCCTCCTCTCACTTCCTTCCTCAGCTTCTCCTTTTCCTACACTTACCCTGAGCTGCAGTCAGAAGGAATTACTTGCAGTTCCTTTAAGTACATGGTTTGTTGAATGAACACATGAAAATGCAGATCTTCTTGGAAACAACAGGAAAGAACAAGAGAAGTCCTGAGAGGTTCATGTGAGAAGTGACTACAAGAGAATGACAGGAAGCACATATCTAGGAGCCTGGGCTTTGCCCTTCCCTCTTCTCAGGGACCCAGAAGCTGAAGAAGTTTCCAGACAGCACTCCAAGCTTCACCCACTTCCTGTTAACCCAGGCACCTCGGGCCCAATCACTCACCAAGAAAGGAGCCTCCAAGGATTTGTTTCTCACCCTTCCAGGGATCTTCTCCTTGCTGCAACAGGGAGATCACCCTTGGTTTGGTAAACGGGAATCCTGCTCATAAGACAAAAAATAAATTAATAAAAAATTTGAGAAGCCAGAAAAACACCAGAGAATAAGACAAACAGATTACAGAGACAACATGTGGCCCACAGGCCTGAAATATTTACCCCTTGGCCCTCTATAGAGAAATTCTGCTGAGTCCTAGGACAGGCAAGTATAGGTCCAAGACTGAATAAATGAAGCCCTCTGCCAAAATGAGCGAGGAACCAGAGGAGAACTGCTGTGGGAAAAAGAAGCCAGGACTATGAGGAAAGCGCCCATGGGCAACCACACAGAGGGAAGGCAGTGATCCTGATACCATCTCCTGTCCCTGTGTGTGGTCCGTTCTGTGCCTGTGACGGGGAGGATGCCTTCAACATTTATTCGTAGACATCCTATTTGTACAATCCTAAGGCAAAACCTGGGTGATGTTTTCTGATGATCAACAGCTGCTACCCAGGAAAGGGAGCACCAAGACCTCCCTTTCCTGAACTTGGTCTGTGTGGGGAATTTCCTTACCCAGGGAAGCCAGGTTCCTATAGTTCTCCAGCATCACGTCCCGGTACAAGCTCCTCTGCAGAGCATCCAGCTTCCTCCACTCATCCCGAGTAAAGAGCACAGCCACATCCTCGAAGGTCACTGCCACCTATGAGGACAAGCCACTGCAGCTCACTTGAGAAAAGCCCTCAGAGGGAAGAAGGCAGCAGTGGGGGAGGCAGAGGCAATCAGCAAATGCTGCTGATGCCACTCAAGGTTCTGAAGGTCCTGGTGGTCGGTCAGAAATGGAGCAGCATAAAGGAGGAACCTGGCAACTGTAGTTTGGATCCTCCTTGCCCCTCAAAGACCATTGTGTTGAAGTCTTATTCCCAGCCCCAAGGTGCCACTGAGAGGAGTGGAACCTTCAGGAGATGGGTTCTAGTGAAAAGGAAATGAAGTTATCAGGCAGGTGCCCTCACAGGGGACACTGGGACCCCGGCTGGTTCCTGTCCTTCTCTCTTTGCTTCCAAGGGTGGCCTCTTCCAGCCCCCTTGATGCAGAGTCCTGCCCCAGCACAGGCCCATAGCTAAAATGCCAAGTGACCATGGATAATGTCTGAAACCACAGCCAAAATTAATCTTTCTTTCTCATAAATTGATTATTTCAGGTATTTTATAATAGTAACAGCAAGCTGACTACCACACTAGCTCTGTGTCAATCACTATGGAAGATGTCTAAAGGTGCAATCAATGAGTATTAATGAAAATAATATTTCTGAAGGAGATTAGATGATACCTATTAACATGCTTAGAAATATATGTACTCTTTAACTCACCAGTTACTATATTTGGGTTGGACTGAGGATGTATTAGAGTATACAAAATTGAATGCACGAGGATACTTATGGTGCTTGTGATAGTGAAAGAAAAATAAAAGGAAACAAATACTCACTGCTGAATACTACATTAAGTAATGTTAAGGCACTGTCTGGGTGCTTAGTCAAGCTTTAGGATAGCAGTTACAAAAATTATAATGGCTATCAGTTACCAGCTGTTTTCCACAGGCCAAGTACAGTACTGCTCTTAAGTGTTTCGTTGCATAATACATTTAATCAGCACCACAATCCTATAAAGAAATAATTATCATTGTCCCCATTCTGCACAAGAGAAAACAATACCACAGAGCATGAAAAATCTGCCCAAATCACACAGCTTCTACCAAACAGTGGTAGAAGAGAAATTCCAATCCACATGGCTATGGGAGGCTCCATTCTTAATGAATCTGCAAAACTGTGTCTCAACACCTACTCCACAGGGATAACAAATGAGATAATCTGTATGTGTGACCTAAGTACTCTGACAAAGCCACACCTATAGTAAGTAAGATCCTGCAGACTGACCTTAGCTGAGTAGAACATGGTGACTGTGGAGAGATGGAGTGCTGCAGGTCTGAGGTTCAACTTATCCTGGGCTACTGCAAGGACTCTGGAAAACCAGCCATCTATTTTAACTTTTGTTATCTGACCTCACATTCTTCTATTAGATAAACCTCCTGAAAAGCACCACTAAGCTTAAAAAAACTCCAGCCTCCACCAACCCGAAATCTAAGAATGGGATAACACCTGATTTCTATAGGAAAGATTTCCCTCTTTGCAATAGGCTGCCTACCTAATGCCCAATGCTAAACTGAACTATTTGTTAAATGTTGTAATTTTTTACTTTCTTTGTTCTTTGGCTAGAAGAGTTTGTGTAATCTTCTTCATGTTAGAATATGTCATTAAGGTAACTTGAATCTGCCTTTTCAGGGCATGGTCACTCATGTCTAGCTCAGAATAAACTATTTTTTTATTTCCTTTAAGCAGACTTCATATTTTATCTCAACATATACAACAGAGAGAGACAATGATGATGGTTGCTCAATACTGTGAATCTATGTATTTAAAATGCCACTGATTTACACAGTCAAAAGGGGATAAAATGGTAAATTACACACATGTACATTTTGCCACAACAAAGTTTAAAATGGTGAAATACACACCTGCATATGCACATAAATAAATGTACAGACAATGATTCTGAAGGCTGCACAACAAAGGCCTGTCAGTAAATAGCTCCAGATGTTAGAGCAATGGTGATTTTACTTGCTTTTTTATGTATGTTATGATATGATGAAATATATATTTAGTCTTCATCCCAATTTCCTGGCACACAGCTCCCAAAATTCTTAAAATCATCAAAGTGATAAGCAATCTCTCCATGTTAATGAGCTGATTCCGGGGTGTGACTCCTGGAGAGTGTCAGGAGAGGGGCCGAGGAGAAGCTGGCCAATGATTTAAGCAACTGTAAATATGTAGTGAAAACCTCAAAAACACCCAGACAGCACTGAGAGAGCCTGACCACTGAACACATGAAGGTTCTCGGAGTTGGAGCAGCCTGAAAGGACCAGGAGCTCCACACCCCTTGTCCCACACCACGCTAACCTCAGTTGATGCATTTATTCATATAAAACGTATTCATCTTTTATAACAGGCCTGTAACAGGCAGTTGCTAATAACCAGCTGAAACTTGAAAGTGGTGTCTGAAGTAAAGGGTGTAACGAGCTCTCAAGCGCTGGTATCTGGTGCTATCCCTAGGCAAACAGTGTCAGAACTGAGCTGAATTAGAGGAGTCTGTATCTGCAGCACAGCTTGCTTGGTGGGCAAGGATAAACCCCACACTTTGATATGAGAAGTGTTACAAGAGTAGAGTGGGAGACACTGAGTTCACTTTTCTACTCAGATATATTTTCTACATCTTAAAATTTTTAATATGACCATACAACATATGTACGATAAAATAATGTATTGGCATACGGGGAGAAGACAAGAGATGATCTTTGCCCTCAAAGAATTTACAATCTAATTGGCAGAAAAAGGAAATGCATGAAATAATCTGAACAACTGCAAACAGCCATGCAGGGACCTGGGCTTAACTCAGCAGTAGAATACTTGCATGGCATGCCAGAGGCCCTACTTCAATCCCCAGCACTGAGGAGGAAAAAGTGGTGTAGGTGGGCAGGCAGAACCATATGCCACCTCCTAGTTTAATCATCACTACAGAGACAGGAAAAAGAAAACTGAGATGCAGGCAGACAAGACTCAAAGCCATACCCTCTACAAGGGCAGCAGCAGGATCATAACTGAAACTTTCCAACTGTGAACTCAGCTCTCAAGTCTGTTCTTTCTCTCATCTTAAAGTCGCCATCCCCGAACATAACAGGGCATAGCATGCAGCACTGAGGCATGGGCAGCAGGTACGGACAAGAGAGATGCAGTAGGGGATTCTCACAAAGAGGGAAGGGGAGGGTCTACACAGGAGAGCAACTTGGGCCTGTGTGAATGGAGCGGGAAAGCCTTGAAGGAAATGGCACTGCCCAATCAGGAGATAGCAGGTCCTGACTGCAGCCTCAGATCAGACCCCACCACACTGTGGGTCCAAAGACAATGCCAAAATGAGTAAAGTAAGCTGCTGACATGTGACTGGGACTGCCATGCTCTCCAAGGTGATCCAGTGGATCACTGGAGGATTTAAGCCTGAAATGAGGGCCAGATCCACTGAGCCTGAATGTGGCTACCTGACTTCTTTGAGCTTCAGTTTCCTCATATGTATTTAAAACGAGGACACTAGCTAACTGTTATTTCTAACTATGGAAATAACAAATGCAAAGCCTCAACACATTCCTCAGAATGCTGGAAGATCAATAAACATCAAGTGTTAAATGAAAATGAGTAGAAAATGAAGGAGTATTTTCTGGTTCCTACAAACACTGCAAAGTCTGTATCAACATTTAATGTTATTAAGACAGCATTATTCAGCTGCCACAAACCATACAGTAAGCTATTACCATGTGCCAAGGCCTGATCTAAATACTCTCTAGGCACTAACTCAAGTCATCTTCTCCCCTACCCTAGGAGCCAGGCACAGCAGTTCTCTGTATCTTACAGGTTAGGTGGAATTATTTGCCTTCAGCCCACAAACAGCTAAAGAGGAGAGAGGTTAAAACCCATACTCTGGCATCGCAGTCCCACCTCTATACATTGGGTGCACTACTTCTCCATCACCGATATCCCATGAAACCCTCCTGTGGCTTCCAACTGTGTCCTCTCCACAGGGCTACCCTTTGTTCCCATGCCATCTCGCCTGGATGGGTGCCTCGCTTGTCCCCCAACATAAAGATGAAAATGGCAGGTCAAGATGAGCTTTCATCACTGCTACAAAGCAAATGATCATAAAGGTAAGAGAGAGGAAAAAACCCAAAACTTTAGGCTGTGGAAGCCAGGGGGAGGCACTGTGAGAATTCTCAGGGGTTAAAAGGATCATTCTTGCCAAAGACAGGGAGGAGGACGTGGATGACTCAAAGCAGCAAGGCCAGAAGGAAATTTTCCCAAGTCTGAGAGTTTATTCTGTCCCCACTGGCTTCTGCACTGTCCAATTAGTCATCAGATGGTGGAGTGAGATGAGTGAGCAAAGTGTGTTTATTGAGAACAGAAAGCAAACACTACATGTGGGTGATGTGGGCAGTGTTCCCTATACCACCCATGAACATGGACCGGGGGCTCCAAGGTCAAAGGACTTGGGCTCCAAATCCTGGGGAAGGCTGCATTGGGTAGAGGTCTTCAGGAAAGGAGGAAACAACAAATCCCACCCATTAAAAACTGAGATGGCAATGAGCTCACCTGAGCCCTTGCTTCCTTGTGCTTATTGGCCATGTCCTCTTTCTGGTCTCCTCCCCTTGGATGGTTCTGGTCTCCAGAAGGCAGGTCTGATAAGAAAAAGGTATCAGGAGGAAGCCCCTCCCACGTTCCCCTCAGAATCAGCACCTTCCACCACCCAAGAAAAACCAGTTGTGTCCTCAGCAGGGGAAAGCAGCAGCTGGGAGTGGACAGAGGCAGAGGGAAGGGCTGAGGCTCCAGACCCTCACTCTTCCTGCCTCAGAGAATTCCCAGATGCTAGCCTTGGAGAGGACGCGTCAGGCCACCAACTCCAGAGACTCACTGAGCCTCACCACGTGCCAGGCACACTTACTGTTTAGTCCCACAGCTCAGTGCCATTGCCAGCACCCCATTTTACAGACTATGAAACTGAGGGCAGTGTGGGGGCCACCCGCCCCTGTTCACACAGCCAATGAGGGTGGCACCCGCAGACAACTCAGGAAGAAACCCGAGATCCAGTCTACTGTCGCCGTGCATCACGTGACAATCTTCCTGAACCCCAAGCTTTGTATGCCCAATTCCTGTCTCCTGTCAAGGAATCCATTTCCAGAGATTTAGAGAAAACTCCTTCA